ATAGATTTATACCTCTTTTACACATCACAATTCTCCTTCAAGTGGTATTCTACCCCTTCACAAATAGTATAAGGACTTTACAATAAAGTATTTCCAAGGGACTTATTTCTGGGGTTAGCAAACTTTTTGTCAAGGGGCCAAGTAAATATTTTAGGTTTTGTGGGTCATGCAGTCTTTGTCACAGTTGCTCAACTCTACTGTTACTGTGTGAAAGCAACCATGAACAATACATAAATGAATGAGTTTGCCTGTGTCGTAATAAAGTGTCATTTACAGAAACAGACGATGGGCTGGACTTGGCCCATGGGCCCTTGTTTGCTAAAGCCTGCTTTATGCTATTGTCCTGCATTTTACTTTTACATTTGTTATGAACCCTACAATACATTGTTCTTGATTTGTTCAGTCAATTATCTTCCAAAGGGATTTGAGTCAAGAAAAATGGTTCCAGGGCTTGTGACCCCTTTGTTGTATAGTCAGGTTTCCATCTGGTATCATTTTCTCTCTGCCTGAAGGATTTCACTTAACATTTCTTGTCTGAGTCTTGCTCTTGATGAATTTCAGCCTGTATTTTTATGTTTGAAAACATCTTTATTTTTCCTGTGCTTTGGTGTTTCATTTTGTTTTCTAGTGGCCTAACACATGGTTTGTTGTGGAAAATGTTGTGTGTGCATGCAAGAGAGTTTATTCAGATCTTGTTGGGTGGAATGTTCTACAGATGTTTGCTGATCCAGTTGGTCTGTGGTTCAAGTCTTTTATTTTATCGTTGATCTTCTGCCTCTTTGTTCTATCCCTATCAAAAGTAGGATTTTAAAGTCTGCAACTGTTACTGTTGAACTGTTTCTCCCTTTAATTCCATCAGGTTTTCCTTATGATTGTTAGGACATTGTTGCTTAGTTCATATATATTTTTAAAACTATTATATCTTCCAGGGTGCCTGGGTGGCTCGGTGGGTTAAGCCTCTGCCTTTGGCTCAAGTTATGATTCCAGGGTCCTGAGATCAAGCCCTGTATCGGGGTCTCTGCTCAGTGGGGAGTCTGCTCTCTCTCCCTCTGCTTCTCCCCAATAAATAAAACCTTTAAAAAAAACTTTGCAATAACGTAAACTACAAAACACATTTTGGAAAAGTTAGAGGAGTTACCTTTCAAATTTTGGCTCTTAAGGTTCTTTTTGTTGTTATTGTTTTTTAATCTGTCAAAAAATATGGTCAGGGGTGTATTGAGAGAGGTGAAGAAAGAGAAGCTTCCAGTTGGTGGGTTCAATGTATCAAGATATTCGGTAATGCAAAGGAAAATTTCAAGGGCAAGAATATATTACAAATCAGAGTTTTTAAGCAAGATGAATGGATAAGCAGTTCTATCAGTTGTATCCACAAGAAAGAGGACTCAAAGAAGGCTTGCTTACAGAATCTTCCGTAAGACAGCATTGGCTACCTCCAATGATTCATCTTTTATTAAAACAGTATCATAAGCATCCATGTACTTTTCTAAAACCTCTTCTACTCCATTTGATATCCAGTTTCCAGAATGTGTTCCACATTGGCCCATCTTTCTGCCACTCTCAAGCCTCCTTGGGAGTCTCCCAGCAGAACTGTGTTGTTACTGTCTTAACAATTGATTTTGAGATGTTCTGTGTTGCTCAAAGACCCACCATGTTTGTTAAATTCATGAACTAGTTCTCCTTTAAGTCCTTTGAACACCCCATTCTCATCAAAATCCGTGAAGTTGGTCATGACTCTGACAATTGGATGATCAACACCAGGCCGAGGGAGAACTTCTAGTACATCACCCACACCAGCTGAAAATTTGAACACAGGGAGACTGTGTTGTTGGAGCTTATCAAAGACATTCTCGTACCTTCCTTGAACAGACATCAGATCCTGCCACAATTCCTTTCAGTTTAGCTTTCAGTAGAGCCTGTTCAACAAGCAAACCCTGTGAGTTAGGGTACGGTTCTACCACATAAGGGTACCTCTGTTGTAGGAACAGGATCAACTTTAGTAGCATGATCTTTGTCCTTTAGTTGCAGTAACTCTTTCTGGCCTCCATCTGTAACCAGCTTATGATTGTCAATGATAATTATGACGTGTTGGGCATCCTTTCCCTTTGTAGGAAAATATACTTAGTGTCATGCCGAAGTCTATTATTATCTGAAGGGTGGCAGGTCCTTCTTTGATAAGACCACAGGTCATTTCTTCTCTTATGGGGTTTTTGACGTGAACTGAACTTTTTGGGAATTTTGACCTCATTTTCACACATCCAGCAGATTCTTGGCTCATCACTTCTTGGTTATTCAATTGTCCTTAAAGGCACTCCGGGTTCTTGCATTCTTGATTGTCCTAGGACAACAGCATAGACAGCAAGCAATATCCAGAGATGGAGGGCTTGGATATAGGGATCCCAATGATCTTAGGCTTCTGCCTCATGTTTCTCTCAGGCTGAATATGTCCTGAGCCAATGGCACTCCTGCCACCAGGACACCCACGCTGGTACTTGCTAGCAGGTCCTCCCTGGCCATGGCTGCCTAGTCCCTGAAGAGGGTCTCATGGGCTTCCAGGCCCGAAGAGAAAAGGCTGTACACAGTGAGCGTGGGCCCCCTGGGTCATGGTTTTAAATCCCTTCTGCAAATCTCTGACTTCTGATTGGAGTATTTAATTACTGATAAAGTAGGTTTACCTCTTCCATTGGCTCTTTGTTTTCTATAGGTCTTATGTCTTTTCTGTTCTTCTATTCCTCAATTTTGTCTCTTTCATGTTAAATAAGTATATTCTAGGGGACTGTTTTAATTCCCTTGTTGTTTCTTTTACTGTATGTTTCGTTTGGGTGATTTTTTTTAAGAGTCTTATTTATTTGAGAGAGAGAGAGGGAGAGGCACAATCGGGGAGGGGCACAGGGAGAAGCAGAGTCCCATGCCGGGCTCGATCCCAGGACCCTGAGATCCTGACCTGAGCCAGAGGCAGATGATTCACCGACCAAGTCACCCAGGCGCCCGTGGTTGGTTTTTTTAGTGGCTCTGAAAGCAGAGTTTAGTGTAGAGCTGATGATTCTCCACTTCTGAGGCAACACCTTTCTCAGTACTGTCCCCTGAACTGAGGTTTTTCCAAACTGGCTGACAGAAACAGGCACTGTTCCCAGCCCTGTGAGAGTCTGGCACTGTTCCCTCCAGCCTTGCAGATGGCTCTTGTCCCAACCTCGGGTAGTCTCCTCACATACACACGCTGATCATTTCTGTGCTGAACACTACAGATCTCCTGAATCCTCTCTATGTGTATCTCCTTTCTTTCTTTCTTTTTTTTTTTAAGATTTGTTTATTAAGAGAGAGAACATGAGCCAAGGAAGGGGCAAGAGGGAGAGAGAGAGAATCCTCAAGCAGACTCCCCCTTCCCACTGAGTGTGGAGCCTGACACGGGGCTCGATGCCAGGACCCTGAGACCATGACCTGAGCCGAAATCAAGAGTCGTAAACTCTCAACCAACAGCCACCCAGGCGTCCCCATGCACCTCCTTTCTTTCTGATACTCTGTCGTGTGAACTCTCATTGCCTCAGTCTGCCTGAATGGTCAGGTCTGTCTCCTCAACTCAGGGAATCCCTCTCCTGGGACGGCAGCCTAGAAACTCCACTGAAATGGCAGCAAGCCGAGGCAACACGAGGGCTCCCATAGCTTGTCTCCCCATTTCTCAGGGATGGCTGGCCTTCACTAGCTCATATCCAGTGTGTAGAAAGCCACCGTTTCATAGTTCAGGGGTTTTTTAGTTTTGGTTTGGCTTTTGGTTTTGAGTTGCTACAGACAGGAGGAGGGTAAGTCCAATTCCTGTTACTCTGTTTGGACGAGAAATGGAAATAGTCCATCATTTTTTAACGGATTGTGAGTATTGTGCTCTGCGGGCATGCCCCCTACATTTGTCAGTCCCCTATTGATAACCTGTTTGCATAAGCGGTGCCACAGACTGGACGAATGTCCTGGAAGCCCTTTGTAAGAGTCCATAGAGGAGACCTCAGCGACGGACCTTCCAGGCCCCAGAGTTTATGCGTTTACATTTCGGATACATGGTTCACTTGCCTGGCAGTGATACTTTTGCCATCAACAACGGGCCAATGATGGGACAAACTTTACATTGTGAACTTAATAAATGACTCGTGCTTTATTTGTAGGCGGAGCAATAGTTATAGTAGATCTCTGGTATCGTCTGGTACTTCCCGCTGTCTTTTTTTTTTTTTTTTAAAGATTTTATTTTTTTTTAAAGATTTTTATTTATTTGACAGACAGATCACAAGTAGGCAGAGAGGCAGGCAGAGAGAGAGAGGAGGAGGAGGCAGGCTCCCCGCTGAGCAGAGAGCCCAATGTGAGGCTCAATCCCAGGACCCTGGGATCATGACCTGAGCCGAAGGCAGAGGCTTTAACCACTGAGCCACCCAGGCGCCCCAAAGATTTTATTTATTTGACAGAGATCACTCGTAGGCAGAGAGGCAGGCAGAGAGAGAGGAAGGGAAGCAGGCTCCCTGCTGAGCAGAGAGCCTGGTGCGGGGCTCAATCCCAGGACCCTGGGATCATGACCTGAGTTGAAGACAGAGCCTTTAACCCACTGAGCCACCCAGGCGCCCCTTTTCCCACTGTCTTTTACGAGGGCAATTGACATATTATGATGCCATTTGTGAATGTGCAGATTCTCAAAGCCTTGGAGACGTATCCTTCAAGAATGTCAGAGTTTTTGTGTCCAGCCTAGTTTTGGGGACCAGAGGGTGTCCTTCTCCAAAAGCCCCAAGTCACCCTAGTCCAGTATCCCGGATGTTCTTGCCTTCATGTCTTAGCGTGAGGGAGTCCTTTCTACCTGCAGCTGCTGACTTCTCTCTTCCTCTTCAACCAGGGCTCGGAGACGACAACGGGACTCCCTCAACGCAGAGGGCATGCTTCCGCAACGTCAGATGACATACTTCAAGGCGGAGTCCCCGTCAAGCGGTCAAGTGCTGACCGGGCTGTGGATTCTCCCCGTGCTTATGGCTCAGATCAGACCTTTTCAGGACTCGGTGGCATAAGAAACCCCTCTGAAGGGGTCACCAGGGAACGAGGCAGAGGTGCCTCCGCTACCGCATTCCCTGCTAGAGAACAGCACCCGAGGGCCCGTGACGAAGCTGGCCTGGCAAAGGCCCATCACCTGTCTGCGTCCCAATCCAGAGTAGAGTCAGGTCGCCCCAGGACGAGAGAGCTGCCGTCGCACAGCTCCGTCCATCTAAGAAAAGAGGAACGAGAAGCACAGCCTGGTCCCACCCTACAGGACCTATCCTCAGGCCCTGTGGCAGGAGATGAATATAAAGTACACCCAGATCAGCACTGGGGGGTGGATGCAAGCCAGGGTCGAATCCAGCCCGGGCTAGATCAGCATGGACTGGGACCACACGGCATGGACCCACTGGCGTGGAGCCATCCCAGGACTTACCCACATGCTGTGGTACCGCACAGCATGGGTCAGCTCGGTGTGATGCCACCTGGAACGGATGAGTGGGGCTTGGTAACACCTGGCCTGGATCAGTATGGGATGGTGCCACCAGTGGTACCCGGCACACATCAGCAAGGATGGGAACTACCTAGCACAGTTCAGCCTGGTATGGTTCCACTTGGCACGTATCAGTATGGCACAGGACTTCCTGGCACAGCCCATCAGCCTGGTGTGGATCAGCGTGGATTGGTGCCCTTGACTGCAGATCAGCATGGATTTTTAATATCTGGCATGGATCAACAAGGATCGGTCCCAGACCTCACACATCAGCGCAGTCTGGCATCACCTGGCTTGATACAAGTTGTTGCAGATCGGCAAGGTCTTGTACAGCCCAGCTTGGAAGTATCTGAGTTCACTCATCCTGACGCAGGTCAGCGCGGTATAATACAGCCTGGGCCAGACCACCCTGGTTCGGTACCAGCGGGAGCCAGTCAGCGTGGTTTGGTGCGCCCTGGCGCAGATCGGCATGGTTTGGTCCAGACTCTTGTAGATCCAAGTGGTTTGGTCCAGCCTGGTGCTTATCTACCTGATTGGGCACAGCCTGGTGCGTATCCCAGTGGCCGGGGACAGCCTGTGGCATCTCCGTTTGACTTGGTACAGCCCAACGTCTATCCATCTGGTTTGGTCCAGCTGAGTGCAGTTCAGCCTGGTTTGACACAGTCCGGAATAGGTCAGCAAGATTCAGCCCAACTTAGAATGCATCAGCGGGCTTCGGCGGAGCCTGAAATGGATGAACATGGTTTGGTCCAAGTTGGAATGGATCACCGTGTCTTGCTCCAGCCTGGCACAGTTCAGCCTGCTTTCATGCAGCCTGGTGCAGGTCAGCGTGCTTTGGCCCAACCTGGAATAGGTCAGCATGAGTCGGTCCAACTTGGCATGGACCCGCGTGCTTTGGTGCATCCTCGTGCTGGTCAGCCTGGCGTGGATCAACATGGTTTGTTGCGACCTGGCGCAGGTCAGCCTGGCTTGGCGCACCCTGGGGTGGACCAGCGTGGTTTCGTGCAACCTAGTGCTGGTCAGCCTGGTTGGGCACAGCCTGGCATGGATCACCGTGGTTTGGCACAACCTGGCGCAGCTCAGCCTGGTTTGGTGCAGCCTGGCATCCATCATCCTGGTTTCACGGCAACCTGGCGCAGGTCAGCCTAGCTTGGCACAGCCTGGCATCGATCAGCGTGGGTTGGCACAACCTGGCACAGGTCAGCCTAGCTTGGCACAGCCTGGCATCGATCATCCTGGTTTCACGCAACCTGGCGCAGGTCAGCCCAACCTGGCGCAGGTCAGCCTAGCTTGGCACAGCCTGGCATCGATCAGCGTGGGTTGGCACAACCTGGCACAGGTCAGCCTAGCTTGGCACAGCCTGGCATCGATCATCCTGGTTTCACGCAACCTGGCGCAGGTCAGCCTAGCTTGGCACAGCCTGGCATCGATCAGCGTGGGTTGGCACAACCTGGCACAGGTCAGCCTAGCTTGGCACAGCCTGGCATCGATCATCCTGGTTTCACGCAACCTGGCGCAGGTCAGCCTAGCTTGGCACAGCCTGGCATCGATCATCCTGGTTTCACGCAACCTGGTGCAGGTCAGCCTGGTTGGGCACGGCCTGGCATGGATCACCGTGGTTTGGCACAACCTGGCGCAGCTCAGCCTGGTTTGGTGCAGCCTGGCATCGATCAGCGTGTGTTGGCACAACCTGGCACAGGTCAGCCTAGCTTGGCACAGCCTGGCACGGATCATCCTGGTTTCACGCAACCTGGTGCAGGTCAGCCTAGCTTGGCACAGCCTGGCATCGATCAGCGTGTGTTGGCACAACCTGGCACAGGTCAGCCTAGCTTGGCACAGCCTGGCACGGATCATCCTGGTTTCACGCAACCTGGTGCAGGTCAGCCTAGCTTGGCACAGCCTGGCATCGATCAGCGTGTGTTGGCACAACCTGGCACAGGTCAGCCTAGCTTGGCACAGCCTGGCATCGATCATCCTGGTTTCACGCAACCTGGCGCAGGTCAGCCTGGCTTGGCACAGCCTGGCATGGATCATCCTGGTTTCACGCAACCTGGCGCAGGTCAGCCTGGCTTGGCACAGCCTGGCATCGATCATCATGGTTTCACGCAACCTGGCGCAGGTCAGCCTGGCTTGGCCCAACCTAGAGAGGATCAGCGTGGGTTGGTACAACCTGGTGCAGCTCAGCCTGGTATGGTCCAACCTAGAATGGATCAAGGTGGATTGGTACAACCTGGTGCAGGTCAGCCGGGTTTGGTTCAGCCTGGCACAGTTCAGCCTGCTTTGGTCCAGCCTGGTGCAGGTCAGGGTGGTTTAGGGCAACGTGGATTGGATCAGCGTGGCTTGGTACAGGCTGACACAGATCCACGTGGCTTTTCTCAACCTGGTGCATATCCTCCTGGATTGATTCAACCTGGCGCATATCCACCTGGTCTGGTACAGCCTGGTGCCTATCCTCGTGGTTTGGTCCAGCCTGGTGCCTATCTACAAGATTTGGGTCAATCTAGTGCCTATCCTCGTGGTTCAGTTCCACCCGGTGCCTACCCTCGTGGTTTGGTCCAGCCTGGTGCACACCCACACGGTTTCCTGCAGCCTAGCGCTGGTCAGCGCGGTTCGGTTCAACCTGAAATTGATCAGTACGGCTTGAGGCCACCTGGAACCGGACAACCAGGTGTGGTACCAGCAGGCACAGGGCTTCGTGGCTTTCCAGCATTTACCCCAGATTTTCCAAGATCTTTAGCACATCCATATCACCCTGGCGTGATACCTCCTGGCAGATACCAACATGGCGAGGTGTCGGCACTTCTAGCCAGTCAGGGTTTGGCATCACCAGGGATTGGCCAAAAGGGTTTACCAGAGACTTACCAGCAAGGTTTGTTACATCGTGGCACAGACCAGCATGGCCTGACACCATTAAGCCCCCATGTGGGATCTGCACAGCAAGCTCAACAGCATTTGGTTTCGCCTGGCCCGGATCAGCATGGCGAGGGACAAGCTGGCACAGAACAGCAAGACCATGTATCCTCTATCCCAGAATCCTGGGACCGATCCTATCCTGGCCCTCAGGGCCCAGGCGTCCAGATGGGTTTGGATCCAAAACAAATACAGGCCCCAGGCCAGTCTGCCCTTCCGGTCCGGACTCCTTCCAGCCAAGCAGCCGCCTTTCCCAGGAGCGCAGACTCTCTCAGCTGTCTCCACCGAGTCTCCTCCGAAAAGAGTGATTTCCAGAGCGAGAGACGTGACTCGCTGGATAAATTAGCTCCGACCTTCCCCATGGCAGTGGAAACATTTCGTCTGATGGGAGAGCTCCTTGGCCTCTATGTAGAGCTCAAGGAGAACATGAAGGAGCTGGACGAGGAGGAGGCTGGCCAGACCGACCTGGAGAAGATCCAGTACCTGCTCGGCCTCATGGGTGGGTTCCAGGGACACAGAGGAGGGGCCGCTTTCTGTGTATCCGGCATCCCCTGGCCTCCTCTGGCTGCTGGGCTGCTTCCTGAGTCGCTGCAAATAGCACGTCCCTTCTTAGCCTTTCTGGGCTCTACTATAGCCCTTGGGGTCCAAAAGTTGGAATTAAACGACTCGGAGCAAAGGAGCCTCAGGAGGAGAGTGAGGCGGTTCGGATGCCCTGGCCGACTATCTGGACAGCCGCGGAGGCCGGTGGGAGGATGGGAGGGAGGATGCCTATGGTCCATGGACAGCGATGGGCCCAGAGAATAATTAAGATTTGAGAGTTGGGTGGGAAGTGTGGGTTAGTAGTCCCAAAGTCCTTTAGGATAGTAAGCATTAGGTGGATTTTTTTAAAGGGTAAGGACACTCCTCTTTCCTTTCATCCCATCCCCCCTCCCCAGTCACCTGGAAAAGCAGAAGTGGGGGGTCCTGCTGTTTGCTGCCGGGGGTGGGGGGCTTCACCATGGGGGCTGGGAACAGGGATTGTGGGGGCTTCACCATGGGGGCCGGAAACAGCGATTGGGAGCCTGCTGGAGATCTAACCCTTTTGACGAATAAGGCCTCCATTATTCACAGTCAAAAAGGCTATACCCCCAGACCTGCAGGAACAGCTGAACACCTTAAAGTCCTTAACCAAAGAAGTTCGGCAGGAAAAAGCAAAAGTAAGTAAGGGAGGGCCCGCCCACTCTGACTTTGAGGGCCTGCAGTCCCACTTTTCCACTTGTATTTTGATGGATGGCACCGTCCTTGGGCTGACATATTATCTCGTTGGATTTTTACAAGCCTCTCAGGTAGGAAATGTCCCTCAGGTGACATCATGTTCAGTTCCTGGGTCTCACACCGCATGCTCGAAGCTGTTGAGACCCGGCGGAGCCAACAAGGAGGCCAGTGCTCTTTTCATTACGTGGGGGCCATTTCCAACAAAGCCCACTAGGAGTGCAGCAGCCTTGGAGCCAAGTTTGGGGGACTCTCTGGGACCAGTGGCCATGGCAAAGGGCTACCGGATCTTCAGTGGTTCTTTTTTTTTTTTTTTTTTTTTTTATTTATTTGACAGAGAGACCACAAGTAGGCAGGCAGACAGAGAAGGGGAAGCAGGCTCCCCGCTGAGCAGAGAGCCCGATGTGGGGCTCGATCCCAGGACCCTGAGATCATGACCTGAGCTGAAGGCAGCGGCTTAACCCACTGAGCCACCCAGGCGCCCCTCTTCAGTGGTTCTTAACGCCAGCTGTCCACAGCCGCGGGACGGATGGATAGATGGGTGGGCAGATGGGTGGATGGATGTCCAGAAGGGACAGACTGACCAATGGTTCTTGTTAGAGGCTTGGATCAGGACTCGGACTCAGGAAAGGGGCTTGCTCAGGCTGTGGACGCATATGCAGAAGGCCAAGAACTCAGGCCTAAGCCTGACCTTCCTCTTCCACTGGGTTTGTAGATGGAGAGGATGCAGAAGATTCTGGAGGGCAACGGGGAACAAGAAACAGGGAAAGACACGAAGAATGGCTCGCTGAGCTTGCAGCTGGGAATCCTCAGGTAAAACACTCCTGCTGAGCGCAATTTGTGTCCGGGCATCGCCTCTCCCCAGCCAAGGAGGTGATGGCAGCCTTTGGCTCACTCACAGTCTGAACTGGACCCTGTCTTTGACCCTGGCTGTGTCTGCCCTTCAGGGTGTCCATATGTAGTTCAAGTGGCTGGTAGAAGTTTCCGAGATTCTTAAAACCATCCAGCAGGGGCACCTGGGTGGCTCAGTGGGTTAATTCCTCTGCCTTCGGCTCAGGTCATGATCCCAAGGTTCTGGGATCGAGCCCCACATCAGGCTCTCTGCTCAGCAGGGAGTCTGCTTCCCTTCCTCTCTCTCTCTGCCTGCCTCTCTGCCTGCTTGTGATCTCTATCTGTCAAATAAATAAATAAAATCTTTTAAAACAATTTAAAACAAAACAAAACAACAATAAAAAAACAGTCCAGCAGCAGCAGTCTCTGTCCCCAGACAGAAGCTGGAGGAGAGCACGTGTCAGAGCCCCCTCAGGGCCCTCTCACAGTGGGGCCAGGTCCCACCCCTTAGAAACCTCTCAGGTCGGCACGTGGGCACCCACTTCCTGGACAAGCAGCACCCGGGACTCCCTAGATAGAGCCTGCCGTGGGGTGGGCCCAAGAGCCGTGGTGCGCATCGTGTGTCCCTCGTGGGACATGTGGGCCCAGACCCTGGGATGGGTGGTGGCGCCAGGCCGTCTCTTCTGCACGTCTCTCAGAGTTACCGTGGCTGACATCGAGAAGGAACTGGCCGAGCTGAGGGAAAGCCAAGAGCGGGGCAAGGTCAGCATGGAGCACTCCGTCTCCGAAGCCTCCCTCTACCTGCAGGACCAGGTGAGACCAGGATCTCCTCAGTCGGCCGTGGAGGGCGGGGCTACCAGACTCTCAGCGGTCACACCGTCTGCAAACGCTTTCGCCCATTCTGTGGGCTGTCTTTCCAGCCTCTTGTTAGTGTCTGCCTTTACGATTTTACGTCTTTATTAGAGAGAGAGAGAGAGAGAGAGAGCGAGCGCACAAGCGGGGGGAGGGAGCAGAGGGAGGGACAAGCAGACTCTGTGCAGGTGTGAAACCTGACTCGGGGCTCGATCCCATGACCCTGAGATCATGACCTGAGGAGAAAGCAAGAATCAGACACTTAACTGAGCCACCCAGGCGCTCCGATAGCGTCTGCCTTTAAATCTTGAGTGATGCTATCGCCGGTCATCCCAGACTCTTCCCACTGAAGAGTGTCCGGACCAGGACCGGCCCTGTGAGTACTTGCAGGAGGACCGGACAGGAAAAGCCACGGGGCCACGGGGACTGACATCAGGAGTGCCTCGGGGATAGAGGCCTGGTTCTGGGCCACTCCCACACCCCACCAGCATGTACCATGTCTTGACCCCAAAGCCACTTGTCCAGTGTGAGGCTCTAGGAGTAGAAGATTGTGTCCACAGCTCACGTCTAAGCTTAGCAACCTCCAGGGCTGTCCCGGGAGCCACACTCCCCACTGGGCAGGCCCGGCTCCCACCACAGCCTCTTCAGGGCACCGGCCTCCACTCTCCCCATTTTCCGCCGTCTCCGCTTCCTACCTCTGAATACACAGCTGCTCTCCCACGCTGCTCCTCATCCCAGAATGTCCTTGTCACCCTCACTTACCCAGCGGGCTCCTACTACCCCTCACAACTCCACTGAAAAGCCCATAGTTTGGGGAGGCACCTTCCTCTCTTCTAGAGAATCAGTCCGTCCTTTTACCCCACGGGCCCTCTGCCACGCTTACGAACACTTCAGAAGAGTGCGGGTTCTTCTGGGAGCAAGCAGGAGTCTCACTGAGCTCAGGCACAGGGGAGCTTGATTGAAAGTACATCGGTGTGGGGGGAGGCTGGAAAAGGCTGAACTTCTAGGCCAAGGGGGCAGTCTGGCCAGGGCTGCCTGGGCTCCGTCCTTCACGTCTGTTTCTGTGCGCACCTGTGCTTCTGTGTCCCTGTCCTTACCCGTTTCTCTCCAACACCTCCACATCTCCCTCCCACCGTGCTCCCAGCCAACTTTCGCACATGGCCCACAGGGGCTGCCTCGGCCCCGCGATGTTACACACTTCCAAGAGAGGGGGTTCGGTTGGCCCAGCCCCTCTCTGAGCCAGGCAAGAGGTCCCACAGCTGTGGGACTGGCTGACGCAGAACCGGGTGCCAACCCGGGACCCGTCATGTGCGGTGATGCACAGGGACTGTGGGAAACAGAAGAGGGCAGGAGAGCCAGTGGAAGGCATCTGCTCCCGCCCAGACCAGGAGAGACCCCTGCAACAGAAGTAGCACCCGTCCCACTGATTTCTTGTTACCGAATGCTGGCTGGGGACAGAGCATGTGTGAGCAGCAGAGGGCCCAGAGCTGTGTCTGGGCATCGTCAAGCTCCTATAAGTGTTGGTGGACTCACAGATGTCACCACTCGAGGGTTTAGCTAGAGAGACATGTCCTCACTCTGAATCAACGAGCTGGCTAGAGAAAGGTCCAGAGACCTCCGTCCTGTAAGGGTTTTATTCAGGATCAGGGCCGTACTCGCTGAGAACTCTGTTCACTACTTAACAGACGGACCCTGGGTGCCTCCTACGTGCACCACGCTCGGTGAGACCCTGGCAGGGGCAGTGACTGCCTGAATCACACGGGGGCTGGCCGTCTGGACAGATCGCGGCCGTGCCTCGCTCACTGCTCTGCACCTGCCTTCTTGCCCACACCCAGCTGGACAAGCTCAGGGCGATCATCGAGAACATGCTGGCCTCCTCTTCCACGCTGCTGTCCCTGAGCATGGCTCCTCACAAGGCGCTGTCCACTTTGGAACCCGGCCAGATTGACCCGGAGGCCACCTGCCCCACCTGCAGCCTGGACCTGAGCCACCAGGTCAGCACGCTGGTGCTGCGCTACGAGCAGCTTCAGGACATGGTCAACAATCTGGCTGCCTCCCGGCCCTCCAAGAAAGCCAAGCTCCAGAGCCAGGTGACTCCCACCGGCCCCCCTCCTGGCGTGGCCTCCTGTGCCCCACAGCGGGGAGCCACAGCCCGGAGACCCACAGACCTGGGAGTGGCTGATGGTGCTTAACTGGCCTCAGGGCCAGCTTGCCACGGTGGAGTCCTTTACGGACCCCACACAAGTCCCTGGTCCTTTCACTGGGTCACAGCGAGGGCAGGAGCAAAACTAGCTCTGGGGACTTGAGACCATGGTGAAACCCTGGCTCCCTGGGGATGGGGCCGTGCATTCATGTGCCTCGGGGGACACTGGCATAGCAGGTTCCTTGACACAGTATACAGTATTCCAGCCCCCTTCCCAATTCCCCAGCGAAGGGCAGTCTTGCTGGTGGGGGCAGGGAGAGTCGAGAGTCCCTGAGTCCTGCCTCTTAGGCTCTGGAGTTGAGATCCTGCTCAGGGCAGGTGGGAAGACAGTAGCCCACACCCCAGCTCTCAGGAGCCACAGGGCAGCACACCACTCTGGAACCTCGATCGCCTCTGCTGGGCACCCCCTCCGGGGGGCCAGGTCCCTCAAGGCTGGACCTTGGGGAGGTGGGGGCTGAAGCTCACATGCCAGGGTGGGGGGACACACAGAGCAGAGAGCCTGCCCACGGTCCGGGGGGCGGTGTGGAGAGCCAGAATGGGACCCAAAGTTGGCCTACCTGCTGGGTGATTTCTTAAAAATTTTATTTATTTGAGAGAGAGAGTGCACGATCAGGGGGAGAGGGAGACGCAGACTGCCCTGCTGAGCTGGGAGCCGGGCACAGGGCTCGAGCCCGGGACCCTGGGACGACCATGACCTGAGCCGAAGGCAGCCGCTTCACCACCTGAACCAGCCAGGAGCCTCCGGGCGATGTTCTAAGGGCCGCCCAGGCGGGGCAGTAACACCAGGCAGCGGCCCCAGGGAGCCTGCCTTTGTGCTTCCTGCCACAGGATGAAGAGCTGCTGGGCCACGTCCAGAGCGCCATCCTGCAGGTGCAGGGCGACTGTGAGAAGCTCTACATCACCACCAGCAGCCTCATCGAAGACCACCGGCAGAAGCAGAAGGACATTGACGTGAGGGGCCCGCGGGCGGCTGGGGTGGGGGTGGGGTGGGGTGCGAGGCCATTGCCATCCTGGCTCCTCGTTCTCCGCTCCCCCTCCTCCCAGGTGCTGTACCAGGGCCTAGAGAAGCTCGAGAAGGAAAAGGCCAACAGGGAGCACCTGGAGATGGAGATTGACGTGGTAAGGGCGGGCCAGGCCCAGAAGAGCCGCCCTGTGTCCCTCGAGGTCTTACCGGTCCTTCTTTGAAAGGCCAGGAGTAGAGCGGAGCCCAGGGGGAGCTCAGTGTCCAGGCTTGATGTCCGGGCCATGGGTCCCTGCCACGGCTCTCTCCGACCTGGGGCCCCCTCCTCTCTTCCGGGCAGAAGGCAGATAAGAGCGCCCTGGCGGCCAAAGTGAGCCGTGTCCAGTTCGATGCCACCACGGAGCAGCTGAACCACATGATGCAGGAGTTGGTGGCAAAGATGAGCGGCCATGAGCAGGACTGGCAGAAGATGCTGGACAAGCTCCTGGTGGAGATGGACAGCAAGGTGAGGGCAGACAGTGGCTCCTGTCTGGAGGCGGCAGATCACGCCCTGCCCCACCCGGCTTTCCCAGCGCTTACTGCTCACCCACCACCACCCGCAGCTGGACCGCCTGGAGCTGGACCCCGTGAAGAAGTTGCTGGAAGACCGCTGGAAGTCCTTGAGGCAGCAGCTCAAGGAGCGCTCTCCCCTCTACCAGGCGGACGAGGCAGCGGCCATGCGGAGGTGGGGTGCGGACCACAGCGGGGGGCTGGGAGGGGGGTCCCCAGAGGAACAGCTCCCACCAGCGAGCGCAGTGTGCTCTGGGGGAGAGGCTGATCCCACTGGACCATCCCGTAGCTGCAGGGACAGAATCTGAGAGCTTGAAAAGCTCTTCCATCTTAGGCTGGTTCCTCCTGTGCTGGAGAAAGGGTGAGGAGAGAAGGCTAAGGCCCTCTGGCACGGGTGTGCTCCTTGGGGCCTCGGAGGCGGGGATGGGCCCACAGTCCCCAGAGCCAAGCCTGCTCCAGGGGGGTCCCCTGGTCTGCCCTGGGGCAGGCTTGAATCCCCGGGTTTCCATTATTGGCCGCCAGAGGGCGCTCGAGGTTCACACAGGGCCTCTGTCAGGGGCCCCTTGAAACCCTGCTGGCTTTCGGTTGGCACAGGTGGGTGCTGGAGAGGTGCCCCAAAGCAGGTGGTTCCCCAGGGAACAGGGACCAGATCTGCCTCTGGTGGCTTGGGACCTGCCACCCTGGTGAGCCAAGCTTCCGGCCCACCAGGCCTGCAGAGGGCCCAAGGCCTTCTGTGTTCTCCATCTCTCCCGTTCCCCACCCTCCGGGCAGGACACTCACCCTCTGCGTGTATCCCACTCCTCACAGGCAGCTCTTGGCACATTTCCACTGCCTCTCTTGTGACCGGCCCTTGGAGACAGCTGTGACTGGACAGTGAGTGCCCACACCTGGCAAACCCCAGCTGGTGGCTGTCACGGGGGCGGGCACAGCTGTGCTGCGTCTCCTCCATTCCCTACCTGCCTCCAACACTTGTCCTTCCTCGTCTCCTCTCCCCCGGGTCCATTCCTACATGCCTCACCACTTGCTAGCCCTCCGTCCTTCCCTCTGCCACACCCTGGACGGGAGGGCTCCTCGGGCACGTAGGCTGTGGAGTCCTGGCTTTAGGAATGGGATTTCTCACGCTCCAACCGTCCTCTTCTCTCTGTCCCTGCCCAGATTTATCCCGGTGACTCCTGTGGGCCCAGCCCTGCCTGGGCACCGTTCCACCCGCCCCTACACTATCTTCGAGCTGGAGCAGGTCCGGCAGCAGAGCCGCAAGTACGGGGCAGCGGGCTCCCGGGCGGGGCTTCGCAGGGGAGACGGGGCAGAGGCTGGAGGGCGAGTGGCTCTCTGGAGAGGCTCCTCCTCCTGGTTGGACAGTGGGGGGTATGGAGTAATTTCTGGGCTAGCCCCCCACTTCTTCCCAATAAGGGGAAGAATGGAGGCCTATTTAGTAATCACCTGCCTTTGAGTCCCTGTTGGGGGTCCCGGTGGGACACTGCTGAGGCTGCCGGCGGGGGACCTCTTTACCTCCTCACACCCCCAGATGCTTCAGTAGCCCCGGCATGGGAGGAAGGGAGGGGTCTGATGTCACCCAGCCAGAGGGTAGGCTCAGTGGCTGTTGGGGGAGGAGGTGGGGACATAATGCACACTCCTTGGGCTCCTGCCCACCTCCCCACCGCATTTCCATCTCCCAAGGTTGAGGGTTCAGCGATAAGGATGATTTCAAACTGCACTTTGGAGCCCCTAGGGTTCCAGGTAGGGAGGGCTAAGTGTGCAGGGCTGCTCCCCCTCTCGGCTTCCACCCCACCCCGTCTGTGGTCCCTTGGGGTGCTATGGGCAGGGCTCCTGCCCACACATGGTCCTGCTTAAAAGGGCACAGATAAAGGGCTGGAGTGGGCCTGGGTCTGAGTGTGGGCTCGAACTGGCATGGCCCCCTTACCCACCCGCCTGTGCCCCACAGCCTCAAGCTGGGCGGTACCGCCTTCCCTCGGGGCGACTTGGCGCACATGGAGCGGAGCGTGGGGCGCCTGCGCACCATGCACTCCAAGATGCTGATGGACATTGAGAAGGTGCAGATCCACTTCGGAGGCTCAGTCCGGGCCAGCAGCCAGATGATCCGGGAGCTGCTGCAGGCACAGTGCCTGAGCTCCCCCTGCTACAAACGGTAGGACCACACAGACGGGGCCCCTGGCCGCGGGGCTCAGCTTCTGCCCACCCACAGCCCTGTGAGTGTCTGCTCCACTGCTGGGGAACGCCCTGCCAAAGAAGGGGGATGGCGGGCAGGAGAAAGAGGGTATTAGTGGTCTTCAGGGTGGCCCAGCAGCGAGTTTGCTTTGCCCTGGCTCCTGGAGACCCCTGACACAGCTGTCCCATCCCCGGCTGGCTGGCCCCCCCATAGCTGGGTCCTGGGGGACACTGGCTCCGGTGACGCTGCCGTCTTCACCACAGGGTGCCGGAGACAGCCGACTACGTGTACTCGAGCGTGCCCCGGCGCTGTGGGGGCAGCCACACCCTCACGTACCCCTACCGCCGCAGCCGTCTACAGCACCTGTCCCAGGGCCTGTACCCCACCGAGGAGGTCCAGATCGCCATGAAGGTTGGGGTGCTGCCTGGGAGTGAAGACAGAGGGCCCTCACAGGACCCCACGTTCTCAAGTCATTCTGGAAAATGTCACCAGAAGGGTGGATGACCAGCCCTCTGCCTGGAGGCTGTTTCTGAGAGCCTCTGGTACTCCGGCTTTGTTGGGCCTCCTGCCCAGCGAGCCCTGCCACCCCCACCACGGGCCCTCCCTTCGCCCTGCCGCTGCCAGAGCCTTGGGGAGGGTTCTGAGAGTCGGGGGAGGACGTCCCTCGGTGCCACCGACCTCATGGAGGAAGGACCGGAGGGCATGCTCTAAGGGCCACGTGGTAATGGATATCCCTCCCCCGCCCCCCAGCATGATGAGGTGGATATCTTGGGCTTGGATGGACATATTTACAAGGGACGGATGGATACAAGGCTGCCCGGCATCTTGACCAAAGACAGTGAGTGTCCCAGGGGCCCAGAGACTCCTCAGGCTCCTTGCTCAGGAGTCCCTCAGGGTCTGCCCAGCTCCTGGAAGGCCATGGGGCCACTGGATCCTGGGTGCCTCCTCCTGCTACTGCCCTGATTCCAAACGCTCTCAAAGCCCCAGGTCAGTGTTGGCAGGTCGGGGACAGCTGTCTAGTCTCAGCCAATGAGCCAGGACGTCATGGCCCCGTGACACATTCACGCCAGCCCTCCTCCTCGTGCTGCCTCATCGGCTTGCCTGCCTCAGCCTCTGTTCGCAGCACCGCCAGGACCCAGTCCTACCCCTCCTTCAAAACTCAAAGTGCCCCTCCTCAGCCCCCCACCACCTGCTGAATTTCCCCACCCCCTCCCGAAGCCCCACCTGCTCTTAGAGCTCGCGTGCACCTGTCCAGCCGCCTGGCCTCCTGAACTTGAGCCCAGGTCAGAACTCACCCAGCACCAGGCACAGAGCTCACGGCTGTAGGTCCTCAGAGCATATCTGAGTGGGTGGGTGGGTGGACGGATGGACATGGGAACGAATGGAGTGCTTAGAAGGGGTGTGTCCATTAGTTCCAACTGGGAAGGCCCCCCACTGAGGCGGTCGTGACCAGGGGCCCTGCAGCCCTCTCCCCATCCCCATGGGTCCCCACAGAGCTCCCACTCAGCATCTCAGAATGGACCCTCCCCTTCGCCATCCCCCGCCAGCCTCCATCTCCGGGATGACCAAGCACAAGGCCAAGCAATCCCGGCCCCATGTGCACAGGCAGCAGTCCCTCAGCGACAACGGCCAGCTGCCCTCGAGACCTCAGAGTGCCCAGATGCTGGCTGGCAACAGCCCAGGTAGCTTCCCTCCGGCCTTCCAGGTGGTCTCCACTGCCCCCAGGCCTCTGTTGCTTGCCCACCGGCCCCCCTCCTGCCCATGGCTGGTCTCTGCGCTTATTTCCCTGGGGAGAGGAAGTGCCTGGGAGCTGAGAGATGGGATGGGAGGGAGAAGGGAGAAAAATCCATCTTTACTGAGTTGTTCTTTTTTTTTTTTTTAAGATTTTATTTATTTGACAGAGATCACAAGTAGGCAGAGAGGCAGGTAGAGAGGGTGGGGTGGGGGGAAGCAGGCTCCCTGCTGAGCAGAAAGCCTGATGCGGGGCTCGATCCCAGGACCCTGAGATCATGACCTGAGCTGAAGGCAGAGGCTTAACCCACTGAGCCACCCAGGCGCCCCTACTGAGTTCTTCTTATGTCGCAGGGCTGGGGGGTAGATGCTGTTACTGTCCCCATCTCCCAGGAGAGGGAACAGGAGCAGGGTTGTAGCCCAGGGCTCTGGCTCCAGGCCCAAGTCCCCCCCGCCTCCGCTCACAGGTGCTCACTCTCCTGGAGCTAGTGGTCAGCTCTGTGCAGCAGCTGGTGGGCGCAGTCCGACCTTGTTTGGGGAGGAACTTCTCCTCACCCCCAGGCCTGGACGGTCCCTTGAGTCCCTGTGCTCCCCCAAGGGGCTAACTCCTAACTAAAAGTCTGGGGGCTAAGGGTCCCCCAGGGTCCAGCCACCCCTGGGGGCCAGAGAGGGACACTGGCCTGAATCACCACGAGGCCAGATCACCTTCAAGTGACTGTGAGCAAGTCTCCCCACCCCCGCATCCAGACCTGTTTCCTCATCTGCTCGTAAAGCGGGGCCCTGGATTGGTGCTGCTCAGGGTCAGGGCACCCAAGAAAGGGGATCTAACGAAAGGGGCTGCCCTTCTTCCTGTAAAAAGTTCCATTCGTACACTTTGTGGATGCCTATAGGAGGTCAAGGGCTGCCCCCCTTCCCCCAGCCCTGTTAAACACCCAGCCCTAGTTGCCCTTTACCACCCATTCCAGTCCCAGCACTCAGTGAGTGCCCAGAGGAAGCAGAAACAGAGAGGAGTGATGGCGCTAGTCAGGGCACCTCGCCTTTACTTACTCTCTCCAGCCAGGCACTGTGAGGGTCTTGACACGTACGAACCGGTTTTAATCCTCACACCAACATGAAGAGGCAGGGACCACTGTGAGCCTCATTTACCGCTAAGAAAACGAAGGCACAGAGAGGTTAAGGTGCTCGCCCAAGGTCACACAGCTAGGAAGCAGCAGGAGTGGAATTCAGACTTAAGCTGTCAGCCTCCGGAACCTATGCTGGTCACAAGGCAGAGCAGGCGGCGACAGACGATTCAGTGGGGGACAGAGTGCAGGGCTGTGACTGTGTTCTTAGGGGCACCTAGCTCCCCCCTCCTTGGCACTCCACTGTCTACCCTCAGGACACCTAAAATGTTAGGGGAGCAGGAGGGGAGAGGACAGTCTTAGGAGCAATTCCTGCACCTGCTGGTGTGACCAGCGCCTCAACAGCCCCTGTATCACTAGAGGAAACATTACCTAAGAGCCAGGCTCTCAGCCACCCAAGGAGGCCTTGATGATTTTTAACTCCCAGAGATTAGCAAGGAACTCTGCTCAGGAGCTCCCGTGCGGGCTTGCACGGCCCACCGCAGCCCTGCGGGCCCCTCTCCAGCACTCTGCCCCCCCCCCCCGTGCTGCCGGCGCTTCGGGCAAGGTGGGCTGTGGGGGGTGTGGGGCCTGGAAGAGAGCCACCTCAGCCCCCCATGTCTCACATGTCTCACAGCTCCTCCTCGTCCACGGAAAGACAGACCCCTGTCGTCCGAGGGGCGCCTCGCCCAGCCCAACGCAGCCCACCCGCCCAGCCCCAGCGAGATGGAGATGCACATGGACATGCCCCCCGGGGAGGGGCCCGAGGAGCCCACCCGGGGACCGCGGTCCACCACTGCTCAGTGAGCAAAGGTATTAATAAATGTTTAGGAAGAAGCTTGGGGCAGCGAGACTTCTGTGGTCTTGGCTCGGGAAGATGGAGTCAAAGGGTGGGGGGTCCTTCAGGCCAGGCCCCGCCAGACCACCCCCCGGGTCCGGGTGGCCGGCCTTCAGTTGAACAGGTTGGACTTCTAGCGTGAGAATGAGACCACGACCCCCCACCCCCCAAAACGGGTGAAGCTACCCTCCAAGGGTGCGGGGCTTCAAAAGCAGCTGGTGAGGCCAGACCCCAGAGCCTGGGGCTAGTAGGCCACAGTAGGAGGCGCTCTCACCCCTGCGGGCTCTCTCCTGACCTCCGCGGGACCCCGAGGCTGCTGGCCTACAGGGTTGCCTGGCCCACCGGGGTGTTCCTGGCACATCCCTCGGGGAGCAGGGCCCCGGCCACCTGGGAAGGTTTCTGGTTGCTGTCCTCTGCAGCTTACCCCTGAGTGGCTGCTGCAGAGGCAAAGAGGGACTGCCTGGCCTAGGCCGGTTCCCTGCTCCCCTTCCCCCTCCCCAGAAAGAGTGAAAAGAAATGTGAGCAGAAGTGTGTCGGGAGGGGCTTAGCCAGGGGACTGCCATGTGCCCAGCGCCCGGAGGCCTAGCCTTTGTACTGCCCCAGCCTGCTGGGCTCCACCAGCCCCCAAGAGGCAAAGAGGGTTCACTGCTATCCCGAGTCCTTTGCGCTAAAGGTCTTGGCAGGTTTGAGGGGACAGAGGAGCGAGGGGCAGCGGCTGAGTTCAGCGGGTATGGGATGAACCCCCAGACCCCCCTGGGGCCCCGGCGGGGACGAGGGAGAACCGCCCTCCCCACGAGGCCTCTGAAGTCACAGAAGCAGCTTTTCTGTCTTCAGGTCTCTTCTCATGGGAGGCCCCCAGCCCCACTCCTCGTCACCCCAACATAGGGAAGGGATGTCTCACACAAGAGGCTCGCTTTAAGGTGGGAGGGGATGGGGTGACAAAACACACACGAAAGGAAAGTGTGGCAGGAAACTGCCCAGAAGAGGGTTTCTCCCCAGTCCTGTGTGGGCAAAGGAGGGTATCATGGGGGTGGGGCAGGTGTTCCCTACGGGCGGGGGTGGTGTTTCCCCCTTCTTTCCCCATGGGCCAAGATCCCCTCCATCTTCTCACAATGATCTAATGCCCTGGCTGGGTAAGAAGTGGTAAACAGCTTGAACCCTGGGGGCCCGGTAGAAAGGTCTCACGCCAGTCGCCCTTCTCTCCCCAAGCAGAGCAGGAGAGCCAGCTCCAGCCCCTCTGCTCCTGCCCGGCTCCCGTTTCTCACCCAGCCTGAGAGATGTCAGCAGGTTCCTGGCTCAGTGTCCCTGGCCTAGAATCCAAACTCACCAGCTTGGCAGGGAGGAGCAGAAGCAGGACAGCCCAGCCCTCCGTGCCCAGGCCTCCCCCGCGCCCAGACAAGGACGGGGAGTGGAGGACATTCCCCAAGCAGGGGAGGCCAGCCCCCATCCTCGCACCTGGGCCAGGCCGCCCACCCTCCCCAGGCTGTGGTCCCAGCGTGGCCGCCCACGGGCCCTCCAGGGACTTCCCCTCGCAGCCCCGGAAAGCACAGGTGGGCTGGCTTAGGGGTGAGGCCGGGAGGCGGCCCAGGGGTTTCCAACCAGGAAACAAAACTGGAAGGACTAACCCAGCCTCAGAGGAAACCATCCCATGCAGGGGGCAGAGGGCACTGCTGGCAGGTTCTGCTCGGCTCCATAGGAGCCGCTGTGCGGGCGGGCTGGACGAGGTAGCCTGGCGTGCTCCCTAGGGCTCCTCTCAGGTGTCACTCCCCCTCAGGCTATGAACCCCCAGCCCCTCCAGCCCCACTCTACAGCAGGGTCCATCACAGGCCTCTGGCTGCTGAGGACGGAGAGAACAAGCCCCCTCCCCCCAACGCACATGCACACACACAAGCACACACGTGTTTTAGGGGTCTTAGGGCGCAGCGGGGTACAAGGCAGCATCCCTCCTGGGGCACCTGGGTGGCTCAATCCTTAAGCATCTGCTTTCAGCTTGGGTCATGATCCCAGCTGCCCCACATCAGGCTCCCTCCTGGGTTGGAAGTCTGCTTCTCCCTCCCACTCCCCCTGCTTGTGTTTCCTCTTTCGAGGTCTCTCTGCCAAATAAAAAGCTTTAAAAAAAAAAAAAGGTAGCATCCACCACCTGGCTGAGGATCATTTGAGCAAAGGCCCCATTGGGTCACGAATTGCCAACACTGCCTCTGTTCCAGTGGCTGGAGGCTGTGGGGAAGGTGGGAGGGGAAAGGAAGCCAGCTCCTTTGGGAACCACCCGGTCTCTGTGGATCCTGGACAGCCTTGGTCGACCTCTGGGGGTGGCCACTCAACACGCAGTCAGAGCCAGGCTATCCCCAGGGACTGAGGATAGGGACAGAAGGGACGGGCCCAGTGGGAAGATGCCTTGGGGCCTCAGGGAGCAGCTTCCCCACTGCAGACAAGACAAAGGCTCCAGGGCCAAGTGCCAGCCTGCGGTGGGCCACACCACAAGGGCCAAGAAAGGGAGAGGGTCACAGAAGCCAGTCAGACCCAGGCCCTCCTCTCCCTCCCATACTCAGCTGGACCCAGCTGGTCCTATCAACCCCCTGGTCCCGACACCCCTGATCAGAATACCCGGACCAGCCACTCCACACTGAAGCCCCGCTCCCCTCTTCCCAGGGGGACCCCTGTTCCTACCCAGGAAATAAAGGAACCGCAAACCAGGGAAGTTAGAAAAGTCTCTTTTAAGTTTTTTAAATTAAAATTTCACCCTGGTGAGATGATTGATTTGGGAAGTAAATCCAAAGTCAAGCTCTCCACTCTGCCATCCACTCGGGTGAGACACACAGTGGGAGAGGCAGGACCCCCGCTAGGCAGAGCCTCAGCCCCTGACCCAAGCCAGCTCTTTAGTTCAGCACAAGCCCTGTACATCCGGCCGGCGACAGGCGACACCGGGAGAGAGACAGAGCTGCGGGGCCACTGAGGAGCCAGCCACGAAGTCCAGGTGGGGAGCACTTGTGATGGCCAGGGGCCTCTGCACCTTTGGCCGCCAGGCGCTTCTGGGAGCCCCTGCTGGGGGACTCCTCGGAGTGGATCCACGGTGGTCCTCTTGATTCCCGAAGGCGTCACCTCCAAGAGACAGCCAGCGGACCCCTCAGGGTTGGTAATCCCACCTGGCTTGCAAGCACCTGCCTTGGGACGAGGGGTGGAGGAGAGGGTGCTGGCCCAAGGAGACACTCCGGGCTTTCCCTGCTGACCCCAACACCGCAGTCAGCCAGCCTCATTTCACATAACATTAGTTATATTTATATAGTCATATATATTATAGTTATATATTAAAAAGAGGGAAAAAACTTGTCTGAAGACAAACTCCTGAAGGACCCAAGTGGCTCAGGAAGTTTACTATCCCCCCCCACCCACAAAAATTCTTTTATAAAATCTTCCAGTGCGCTCTTCAGGAAACCCCACCCACCCCCAGCTCCTCCCCCACCCCGGCCCTCCTGTGTCCCCACGACCCTGGACTGCCCCCCCACGCCCCAGCTCCAGCCCAGCGCCTGGAGGCATCCAGTCTCATCTCTGGCCATCCACGGCAGCCACGGCTTTCTGCTGGGAGCCCCCCTGCTGTGCTCCGGGGGGCCACGTGGGCTGCGGGTGGTGCAGGTGGTGGAAGCTGTGGGCCGTGGGGGAGGAGGGCGGGATCCAGGCGGCCTGGTGGCTGGGTGGGGACGAGGCCCAGAAGGGGCTGAAGCTCGCAGGGGGGGAGCAGGCCACGGCCGTCATGGGGCTGTTGCTATTCTGCAAGCCCTCCGAGGCTCGGAGCTTGGAGAACATGGCCAGCGCGTCAGGGAAGTTGGGTGGCGTAGCAGGTGTGTTGCTGGGGGTGCACATCTGCTGGGAGAGAACACAGGTGTCGGGAAGGGGGACGGGCACACAGCGCCCAACTTCCAGCCATCGTGCCCTGTGGACCCACAGGGCCTAGGGTGGGGCTCACCCAGGCTGGCCAGGCCTCCATTCCCATTTGCCAGTCCACGGGCAGCTTCAACAGGACAGAAGCACCCTTCTCACCCCGAGCCAATACAAACAAAAAATAAGGACAAACCCTGACAATTTTTTTTTTTTTTTTTTTGCCAAAACTAAAGAGTGTTTCCTGCATGCCGGGTGGGGATGCCCAGAGGAGTGTCCACAGCAAAGGGTTAAGTCCGACCAGAAGCCAGGGTGTCGGATTCAAGTGAGGACACAAGAGAGCAGCCCAGGACACCGGTGCTTAGCGCCTCGGTCTGGGTAAGAAACCAGCTGGCTCCCTCCGTAATCCGCCCTCAGCCATTCCGAGGTCCTCGGTCAAAGGAAGGCAGCCAGACCCAAGGGTGTCCCTCCTCTGCCAACGTAGGACCTGCACCTTCTCGGCATCTGGGCTCACTCGGCTCCAGCCAGCGGCCCTGGAGGCTCTGTCTTCAATATCTCGATGCCTGGGCACAGATGAGGAAACGGAGGCCCGGAGCTCAAGTCAACCGACCAAAACACACCACCCGAGACTACAGGCTGCGAAGAGGGGATTCCTGGGCTTGGACTCCCACGGTGGTGAGGAGGCCCCCTGAGAACTGCGGACCCCAGCTCTTCGGTCTCTAGCCAACTCTGACTCATCTGCACTTCACGCCTGGGCTCCCCAAGGACAAAAAGCAGGGACTGGGGTTGTCTGTGTCCCCACATCTCCCCCACGATGTACTGGTGGGGTGCTGGCAGAGTCTCAGCCTCTTCTGTCCCCTCAGCCCTCCTCCTGGGGGGGTACTTACAAGCACCCCAACATGTTTTCTGCCAGGACCCTGGAAGGGAAACTCCCCCAAACTCTCCAGTATCCCCCACCCTTTCTGATCAGGGACCCCAGCTGGGAGGAGCAAGGCCTGGTTGGAGGAGGGCGCTGTACGGTGGCGCTCCCTGAGAACATGGGGGATGGCATCCCGCCCCCTACCCCCAGCAGCTCTTTGGGGCCAGGGGGTGCCACCCAGAACTCTCTCAAACGACCACGGGGAAGAGGCAGCAGAGAGCAAGGCCTGCACAAAGCCTGTTCTGACCTCACAGCAGCTTCTCTCTTTCCCAGGAAGCCACAGGAGTCCTTCTTTGAATTTCTCCTAATTTTAGCAACACCAGCCCCTCCCCCAGGCACGGGGCTGGGGGAGCAAGATTCTAGGGCTCTTCACCTCGCAGAGGGAGCTTTTCACAGCTCTGCAGTGAAATCCCAGCCAGAAACTGGGAGGGAGGTGAATCTGTCCTGTTAACTGGGCCAGCGCCCTCTCAGCAGCTGGGGAGCTGCAACCATTGTCTTCCTCAGGGGCGGCCACCGGAGTCCCAGCAGGCCTGGCCCCACCCAGACCACTTCCCTCCTCCCTCCACCACTCCCCGCCCCCCAGCCCGGGGCTGACTTCTCGGCAGCAGGAAACAATGAATGGGGGGTGGGGGCAGAGGCCAATTGCATCACAGCATCGTGACTTCCCCAGTTGGCCACGCCAGTGAAGCCCGTCTCAACCACCACCCGACAGGAAAATGGCCTGGCTCGCCTGGACCGGGAGCATCCCGTGCCCACCGAGCCCTGTGAGCTCGGGCAAGTTCCTTAACCTCTCCGAGGGGCGCTCTACTTTGGTGAAAAGCTGGGGTTTGGGCCAGATGCTTGCAAAACCCCTCCAGCTCCTCGCTTCTAACAACTACAGAGGGGAGTTTGCCAGCCCTAAAGCACACCATGTCCACTGCACCCTGCTTCCCAGCCAGGGCCTCACTCCTCTCCTCAGCGCCCCCCAATTCAACCCGGACGCTCCTCCCACCCCACCTGGGAAGATGCCTCCAACCGTGTGACTGTACAGTAATTTACCAGACAGTCATTTATTAGTTACTCATGCCCTGGGGTCACTTCTGGTGTTGCTATCTTGCCACAACTGTTCTCTTGTTCTTTTTTAACTTTTTTCCTTGATTTATTCTCTCAAAAAATTACAGACTCCTTGAGGGCAGGAATGGCATTCTCCACTGTGCTGATGAAGTACGCAATGGGTAGTGTATTGATGGATACACCGCTTGTAAGATTACAAAACCTGCCTTGAGGAAAGCTTTAAAAGATTATAAGCCCTACGCGCCTGGCTGGCCCAGTTGGAAAAGCATGCAACTCGATGTTGGGGGTCCTGAGTTCTAGCCCCACGTGGGGTACAGAGATTACTTACATAAATTAAAAAAAAAAAAAAAAGATTATAACCCCTTGGGATTTGCAGAGAAGGTATAACGAGGTCTAAAGGGACCTCTAGTCCCAGTTCTCCTGGGTCAGCCTCCCTTTTCACAGCATCACAGAATGGCTGTGCTGGAAGCCCCTGGGCTTTTTCCGAATGGCTACAACCTGGTGCAGGGGACCTCAAGGCTCTTTAGAGAGCTGGGAGCCGGGGTGCTCCTAGGCTCTGCTGCAAGGTGGGAGCCAGAGCTCTCCCCATGTTCAAGTGCAGGGGAGGGTCTCCTAGAGATGCCCCCTCTCGGTTTAGGAGGAACCTGGCCTTAGCCGCCACATCCCTGCAGCTCCCACAGTTCTCCCACTGTACTCCAATATGTTTTTCTCTTCTGATTTATATACAGCATCAGCCATTCCAAGTGAAGAGCTGTTGAAAAGGTCAAGATAGACCCTTCTACTCGTCCTTTGCAACTAGATGAAAACAGGGCACCAAGGACAAGACACAGCACGGGAACCTCATGCAGCTTTTCCAGGAAAGGCAACAGCTCTGAGAAGAGAGCCATGGGTAAGGACACCAAGTGTTAAAAATGCCAAAAATGCAATCAGAAAGCCACAACAGATCTCCTGGGGAATAATGTTTTACAATCCCCATGGTGGAGCCCAGTCCCTCCTCCCCCAGCAGAGCTAATAGGTAACTAGCAGGGTGGGTGGGGAAGGGAGGGGAAGGCATTCAAGCCTCTGAAGTGAAAGCCAGGTCCAGGTGCCCCTGGAAAGCA